ATATGCTTTCTTTCTTGAGATATTCGAAAAATACTAAAAATCGTGTATAAAAAACGAGTCTTTTATTTTAAAAACCCTCTCACGCCGAAAGTTGATATCGAAAATTCTTAAACAAATTTTACATCCTAAGATAGGGTCTGAAGTATCTGTGGTAAAAATTTGAGCTGGATCGGACCATTTTTTCGAGGGGTCGTAATGTGACTGGATTGAACGGACTATCAAAAAAACGTATAGTGAGAAAAACAAATATTGTACACAGGGCTCTGTTTGCCTTGATTCCGGTGATGCTCATATCTCCATGAAAACTCATTGAAAAACTGGAAGACGTCTCATTTTGAAAAGCACACTTTCTTCTATTCGCTTATCTATAAGAAAAATTTTGAATATGTAGTAAAGGACAGAAAGACTTACGGAACTAAACCATTGAGATGTTCTCGGCTTTGAAGGTAAAACTTAAAAACTTCATAACTTTTTCAAGGAAGGCCAAATTTTTCGTTTTCTCTCAGCGAAACCAAAAAGCTTTCTTTGTTTCTTTTGGTCAAGCAGCGAAAAAAAATTTTCTTACACCCTTCCAAAGCTCACTTCCTATTCAGGCCCCTGGTAACAACCAATGAAAATCATCAGATAATAATGTTTTTTTAATACATGAATTTGGGGGTAAAAGCATTTTGCGTGTGAGCTCAGCGTGTCGCACGCTGGCGTGCGGACTTCATTGGTCGAGAGCTTGTCAGTTTAGAAACGCAAAAAAGAGAAAAATTAAATGAAAAAACTATTTATTTTACTTGAGACATTTTTGTGTCGCAGAAATAAATAAAAAAGAAGATATAAGCCAACTAGAGATGTCACTCTTAGTCGGTTACCTCGACTTGTCCAGTAGACCTGTGTTTCAGCGCTAAAGTTGAAATGTAATATACGGTCTTGCTTCAAAAACGAAGCAAGTAGTTTAAACCGTTCGGCACCGCTGAACAATTTAAGGACCGTGCGCAAGCCCAGATTTGTTTGCTTCTGTTAAACAGATCGCCTTGATCAATGAATTGCTTTATCGGAAAAGCAGTTTCTTCGTTATTACAGCATATGTTTATTATAGTTTGGCACAAATAAACAAGAAAGCAGTATTTTCGTAGAAACGCCTACAACAAATAATGAGACATATTAAACACAATATTACTTCTTCTCCTCTCTTGTGGTTCATTAGCTAAGAACCAGACACAGATAGTTTCGGAGCTTTAATTTCAGTACTATCTTTTCATGTGTACAGGCGCTCCCTTAGCTAAAAATTGTTTATCATACAGGTTGATTTGTATTATTCTATTAATTACATTCATTTCGAAATCGAGAAATGTAGCTCGTTTATCATTTGGATTTTTCCGATTTAAAGTTAACTGCACAGGACAAATGACTTGTTTATTATGGTTAAATTTATTATCAGAATTGATGGTAATAAGGTCATCAATGTATCGAAATGTACTATTCAAAACTCTACCGGTCGAGTACATTTTCTGAGTATTTTTCTCCATAAATTCAAATTCATATTTATACAAAAAAAAGTTTGCTAGATAAGGACCAAGGTCAGTACCCATGGGTATCCCAATTATCTGTCGAATCCCAATTGTTCCGAGAGTAAAGTAGTTGTTTTCGACTAAAAAAGACAACGGACGGTTTCTGCAAGAAAACCGCCCTATATGATTTTGAGTGAGAATGATCGCAAATGCCTCCTATTTCACTTCTTGATACTTGCGACTTCTAAAAATTGCTTCTGATCCCCTTGAAGAAATTTTTTCATATCATTTTTGGTGGCCATTTCAACAAATACCATATCATTTTTTTTCCAAACGTTGACGTCTCCTATCAAAGTCCTTGACCAAAGTTCATCTATAGAAAGATAGAGAATTTTTCAGGCTTCAAAATGAGCTATAAATGAGTCTTTCAAAATTATGCCCACATGGCTGAATAGTCGAAATACTTGGCTGATATAATGATTTTCACCTATCTTAATTCTTTAAACACCCCTCTAGTCATTTTTCTGGCATAAAGGAAAATTATGTATTTTTCAAAAACATACCACTCGATAGTCCTTGAAATTCTCTACAAAGTGAGCTGGTCAGAATATCCAGACAGGTGGAGCTAGTAATTAAAGATACGGAAAAGAAGCGTTTGGGTGATATCTATACAGTACAGCGTGTCATAATGAGAAGAACTCGTTTGTTTTTGATTTTTCAGTAAACGCTGGAACCAATCTGAATACTGTTTTGAATAGCCCGGAGATTTTTCTATCAGATGAGGTGCATACCGACGTTTCATGAGGAAATTTGCTAATAAGGTTTCTGGAAAACCAAGTCCTGTTTTTGCAAGGCTTTTGGTCAGAAAATTTTGCAAACCATATCGCCTAATAGAGCCAAGAATTCTGAGAAAAATAAGACATCTCCCGGCTGTCTATAACGCTTTTTCACGCAATTGCAGTCGATTTACGAATGGCTACAAAGGGCGTGAAATTTACTAAAACATTCCGCTGAAAAAGCGTTATAGACAGTCGGGAGATGTCTTATTTTCCTCAGAATTCTTTGCTCTATCAGGCGATATGGTTTGCAAAATTTTCCGAAACGTGGGCTAGCTCTCAACTGTAAAAATAAAATTAACGAAATTCTTAGGAGAAAGGTATCACTGTTAAAGAAAACTTTTTTTCCAAGAGCAGGAGGAGCGTGCACTCCCCTTTGGCCACGGCACTGATAAAGTGTCGAAAAATCATAGGTTGAACATTTCTTGCAGATTTTTTCTTGTTTATTTCTGTAGTACGTTGTAATACTTTATTTGAACTATCAAACACGTAAACAAAGAAAATCACAAAAGAAAAATAAATTGAATTACATATATTTACATATAGCAAATATCAAGTGCACAAGAGTAGGTATGCACAAGTATTCAGTATACTGATACTGGTGCATACCTACACTTGGAAAGGAAGTGTTTTCCAATGTTTCCTTCAATGTGAGAAACGTTAATTAAACCTGTTAAAAAAATGGTTTTCGACATCAGTATTTTCAGTATCAGTATTCAGTACTCGTCAGTATCAGTATTTCCAGTATTCAGTATACTGATACTGGTGCATACCTACACAAAAGTATCTGACTACCATTATAAACAACGAGCAAACAAGAAAATCATACAAGAAAAACAATCGGTATGTCTTAGGGCATCTTAATGACCCAACAAATTTTTCAATTCTCGCGAAAACGTTTGTTTTGGTTTTACAGGAACAAGTGGAGTTACTGGCATTACCGGCGGTGGCACTGGATTTCGTTTTTTGACTAGTGGCCGCATTGTTCGTTTATCTGTTGTCGTTGTGGCAGCAGAAACTTTGACTGACGGTTGCCGTTGTTTTTTGACTGTTTTCGTCGTTGTTGGCGTTTGTTTATCGTTATCTGAATCACCATCACTATCAAAAAGAAAAACATCTAAATTAAAGCTGTAAATGTAATTCTATCTGCTAACGATGCTAGAACTGAACTGTTGGACAAGTCAGTTGAATATGTCGACTGGTCCGACTATCCAGTGATTAGTTGTTGAACTAAAATATTTTACCAGTCTAGTGGGTAAGTCGATTGAACAAGCCGACTTATACAGACAAATACTTTTACAAGGAATTATTTCTAAAATGCACTAATCGTCGGACAGGTCCTTGTGTTCACAGAATCGCTTTATGATAAAAGAAATTTGCACCGGACAAATCGTCTTGTCCAATTGCACGTTTTCTGAAAGATGTATATCCTGGGGTGTTAATTTAGTGTTATTTTAGAAAATAAATATAAATGAATCATTTGCTTTTATAAAATAAAGATAAATTTTGTTTTCTTTTATTTAGATTTAGTTTTTAAACGTAAATGAATCCTTTATATTCATCCATTATTATAAATGAACATCTCTAGTACATTCTCCTCAAGTAAGCATACATTAGACAAGTGGATGGGGGGTATCGACATGGTCAATTATGCTTTTAACAAAATTTTTAATTCGACGATATTTTGTTCTGAGCAGGTGTCAGACAATATCTTGAAGTAGGGTGTAGAGAGAAGAAAGGGTTACCTCGACGAAGACTGAGCAGCCGTCACTATTTTTGTTGCTGGAATTAGTGCGACTGGGACACGGTTAACTTGAACATATTTTGATCTAAAATAAAAAGACACATAGGATTCAGATGCAAGTTCTTTCCCGGTCCTACTTACATAAATGGAAGACTCTTTTTAATGCGGCTAACTGAAATGCCATACTGTTTTAATTGTCTTTGCAAATGTATATGACCAGGAATAAAACCAGAACTTTTCATTTCTGATAAAACAGCATCAACAATTGCCTGAGCTTCATCATTTACATTTAATAGATGATATGTTCCTAAAAAAGAAAACGGTTTTTAACCAGTCATGGTGAAGTCTGAGATATTTTCCTACCTGGTTTATAGCCTCTTTTATTCTCACTTGCTGTAACTGTACAACAGACACCGTATATGGCCACGCACGGCGATATACATCAGACGTATACGGTGGTTTACGACTGGCGTATACAGTGACTTTCCTCTGACCACTGTTCCTTGGAATTCGATCGCAAAATGTATTCATATAAGTTCTCGAAACTAGTGTTCGTTGTGTGATCAAAATTATAGATGCACGGTCCACGGGGTTCAATCCGCAGACTCGCGGGGCTACTTGGTGTCGGACGGGCGGGGAACAAATTTCCGTAGCTTTTCTGGATCGGCGAGGTACGGGTATTGTTCTACATGCCGTCCGTCCGAGCAAGGTGAGACTGTAAGTAGAAAGATGCAGGCTGTTATGTTATACTTTATATCAGATGGCTGAATGAGCTTCAAAGACCCGTGTCCTGTAGCACAACTAACAAAAAACTAAGTGCCAGTGAATGGTATAAAAGCTCACTGTTTAAGAGGTCGCAATCTCTTATTATATACAGATAATCTCTGATGGACGCTAATATTATATACAGCTTTTGAGATTCTAGAATCAAAGTGTAAATTCTTTTAGCATGATGTACGTAGTACACTCTGTTTTTTCGAGCAAAATGTAAATCAGAGTGTAAATCAAAAGTAGCAGATGTACAGTACATTTTGCTTTTGCTTCGTACACCTGCTATTGGAAACTCTGGTCGAGCGGAAACACATTTTTATCATTGGCTAATACAATTTCTTTTATTTCTCTTCTCGGTATTAGTTGCCAGACTAAATCGATTTCATTTTGGTTATGTTAACGTTGTTATGAGTGACTTTTTTCAGATTCATTTTAGATTTATAGTTCATGGTTAAAACTCAATTAAAGTCATGTTCGTTGTACAAACTCTCACTACTCTCACTTTTTGCTCCCTACAAAAAATATTTTATCGACCCTTGTTGTGCACGGGTGTACACCGGTTATGATAGCGTGGAATTCTATATAATTCCATGCATTTCAGCTTGACTCAAACTTGGTCAATATACTCTCTAAAAAAAAAAAGGGTTATTACGAAACTTAAAAGGGTATAGAGAAGTGCAACCATTTCTAAACCGTTTTAAGTTTCGTATGAAACCCTTTTTGGTTTCGTACTTCGACTACGAAACCTTTTATGGTTTTTGGCGAACATTATGTTCGCCAAAAACCATAAAAGCAGTATGTTTGGTCGACATACTGTAAATCTATGCTAGCGTACAATTCTATAGAATTCTATGTGTTTCCGCTCGACTCAGACTTGGTCAATGTATTGTGTACCTATGGTAGCGTACAATTCGATGGAATTCTGTACGTTTCCGCTTGACTGAAACTTGGCCAATGTGTTGTATTTCTATGCTAAGCTGGAATTCTATAGAATTCTATGTATTTCCGCTTCACTCAAAGTAGGTCACTTATAAGGATATCTACTCTAAATATTAGATATTTCTCTAGAATGCTGTAGAGTTGCGCGTGACTCAAACCTGGTGAATAATAAATATATTTATGCTAACGTAGAACTCTATAGAAATCTATACATTCCCGCTTGACTCAAACATGGTCGATATGTTGCATATTTATGCTTGTGTTGTATGTGTTGTATATTGTATATCTATCGCAGCGTAGAATTCTACAGAATTCCATAGATTTCCTCTTGACCCAAACTTGGTCAATATATTGTACATCTATGCTGACGTAGAGTTCTATAGCCTTCTAGGCATTTCAGGATGCCTAAACTTAATACATATATCATAGCGTAGAATTCTATAGAATTCTATGTGTTTCCGCCTGACTGAAACTTGGTCAATATATAGCATATTTATGCTAGTGTGGCAATCTATAGAATTCTATACATTTCCGCTTTACTCGAACTTGGTCAATCTGTTGTATTTCTACACTAAAGTAGAATTCTATAGAATTCTATCTATTTCCGCTTGACTCAAAGTAGGTGAATTATAGGGATACCTAGGCTAAGTTAGAGTTCCATAGAATTGTGTACACTTCCGCTGGACTCAGACCTGGTCGATATATTGTTTATTTATGCTAGCGTGGAATTTTATATAATTCTGCGCATTTCAGCTTGACTCAAATCGGGTCAATATATTGTGTATCTATGCTAGCGTAGAATTCCATAGAATTCTGTATGTTTCCGCGCGACTCACACTTGGTCGATATACTGTAAATCTATACCAGCGCACAATTCCATATCACCGAATCGAAACATTTCAAACGCTTGTTCGGTCGAAACCGATTGCAGATTCGTCTTCTCCATGGTTGATTATGTGGTACGCAATAACTTTTGGATCGGGGTACTTTACAAAACAATTTTCATATGGTCCTGGTCAAACATTTTTCCAAATGTTACCGTATCGGACCAAAGGCAAAACGATGTCGAAAATTTCTTCTAAAGTACCCCGATACAGAAGTTATCGCGTACCACATAATGAATCATGGAGAAGACGAATCTGCCATCGGTTTTGACCGAACAAGCTTTTAAAATTTTTCGATCCGCTGATATGCTATAGAATTCTATGTGTTTCCGCTCGGTTCAGCCTTGGTCGATATATTCTTTATTTATGCTAGCGTAGAATTCTATATAACTCTATGCATTTCCGCTTGACTCAAACTTGGTCAATCTAAGGTATATCAATGCTACCGTAGAATTCCATGGAATCCTGTATGTTTCCGCTCCACTCACATTCGGTCGATATACCGTAAATCTATGCCAGCGTCGAATTCTATAGAATTCTATGTGTTTCCGCTGGACTCAGACTTGGTCGATATATTGTT